TACCCCAGATGGGTCACCTTTTCAGCTAACGCTCGTCCGCCTATGTGTGATCCACAATGCCCCTAATGGCGGTTGTCCGAAACTTCATTCCCTCCCTCAGGCGTAACACACTTTAAATATGGTTTAACAAATGATTTCTTGAACAAGTTCTCTCCCTTTATCTCAAACCATGCCGCCTTTTTCTTCATCATCCAACTCTCTTTTGGGTCGTCTGGAAAAATTCTATCTTTAAGATAGAAGGTAATTCCGTCCATCCATGTGGAGCTTCGGTCAATGAGTTGCACAGGCTCGACATCAATGCTTCACTTCTCTTTAACCTCCCAGAAAACAAATCTCGGAGTATCACATGATGCAGAGGAGGCTAGCTTGGACAAGGCATCCGCTTGGTTGTTCTCGGACCGAGGAACTTGTTGTAGCGTGGAATGCTCTAGGCTCTTGGCCTCTTCCTTCACCATCTGAAGATATTTCATCATTGTCGGCTCCCTAGCCTCGTAGTCACCATTAACTTGGCTTATTATAAGCTGAGAATCCGAACAAGCATCAATTTTTGTTGCCTCGACCGCCTTACACATTCTAAGGCCGGCCAGGAGAGCTTCATACTCGGCCTTGTTGTTGGAGGCTTGAAACTGAAATCTTAAAGCGTATTCAAACTTATCTCCCTCTGTAGATGAAAAAATAACACCAGCACCATATCCGGTCGCGGTTGCACTTTCATCCACAAACACTTTCCAAATCTGACCCCTACCGGTTGTAGGTCCGGCCGTGTCATTTCAGCCAAGAAATCTGCAAAAGCTTGACCCTTGATTGCTTTTCTGGTTCGAATGTAGTATCAGATCCTCTCAATTCTAAGACCCATTTAAGCATTCAGCCACTGGCCTCTAATGTTATTAACGGCTTCTTCAATTGTTGGTCTGTGTAGACCACAATTGAATGAGAAAGATAGTATGACCTTAGCTTCTTTGATGCCATGAACAGTGCCAAGCCAAACCTCTTAACGGATGGATACCTAAGTTTAGCATTGTGCAATACATGGCTGATGAGATACACGGGGATCTGATGGCTGTCTCTTCCTGCAAGTAGGAGGGCACTTAAGGAGTGATTAGAAATGGCCATATACATGTATAGCTTTTCATCTTTGAGTGGACGGACGAGCCGAGGGAGAGTATACAAATGATTTTTTAACTGAATAAAGGCCACTTCGGTCTCCTCGGTTCACTCGAACATTGTTTTTTTCTTGATTGTTTGGAAAAAATAGCGGCACTTATCCTATGATCTTGAAAGAAATTGTCCGAGGGCAGCAAATCAACCGGTCAACCTCTGGACTTCTTAACTGTATCTGGGCGATTTCATGTCTAAGACCGCTCAGATCTTCTTAGGGTTGGCTTCAATGCCGTGCTGATCGATTAAAAATCCGAGAAATTTGATGGACTAAACACAAAATACACACTTCTTAGGGTTTAACATCATCTTATGTCGCTTGAGTTAGGTAAATGTTTCTCGAAGGTCACTCAGATGATCATCCGGCTTCTTTGATTTAACAATCATATCATCAATATAAGCTTCCATGTTCCAGCCGATTTGATATCTGAAGACTGTATTCACAAGTCTCTGAAATATGGTTGGGGAATTCTTCAGGCCGAACGGCATTACTTTGTAGCAATACTACAAACCCAGCTCGGTCACAAATGTTGTTTTCTCTTGATCTTCCTCCCACAAAAGGATTTGCTGAAATCTAAAATAGACATTCATAAAACTCATCAAGGTATGCCCGACCCTTGAACGAACCAGGCGGTCAATTTTAGGAAAGGGAAAGCTATCCTTGGGACATGCCTTGTTAAGATCAATGTAGTGAACACACATCCGCTAAGTTCCATTCGGCTTTTTGACTAAAACTACGTTGGCCTACCAATCAGGATAGTAACATTGCCAAACGAAACCTACGTCCACGCGGCCGCGTGATTCCTTTCCTCACCATGGTTTTCCTTCTTCTGTTGAACAGGCTTCACGGCTGGATTCACTACAAGCTTATGCACAGCCAAGTCTGGGCTAATACCCGACATCTCATGAACTTCGAATGCAAACACATCTCTGAATTCTCTTAACAAATTTACCAAGTCATCTCCAAGCAACAATCTTGACCGTCCGATTAGGCCGGTCCAGGTCCAGCATTATGTCCGCATGATCGCCGGTCGACTGCGGCCTTAACTATTCTGGCTGTCTGATGTTCATTAACTGCTATCCCTACTCTTTCTTAACCGACTTTCGCCTTTTGCCGAATTAGTATGCTTGGAGTGACCCTTCTTCAGAGTTTTGCTTGGACGCCCGTTTGTGTCTGAGTGAAGTTAGCTTCACAGCTTGTTGATTACAATCCATTGCCATCGCTTGGTCTCCTTGAATGGAGCCTATCTTCTCGTCCGACCACTCGAACTTCATCAACATTAAGTAAAGGACAATTACAGCCTTTGCTGAGTTCAACGTCGGACGACCGATGATGATATTGTAGCCTGTAAGCTCTTTGACAACTAAGAAGCGGACGACCATGTCACTTCCTTCTCTCTTTGGCCCAAACCGGACTGCCATATCTATCCAGCCTACTCGGTGGATAATGCCCCTACCAAACCCAACCAACGGGTAGGAGATATCCTTTAGTGCATCTTTTAGGAACTTCACGTTTTTCAAACAGGCTGTTGATTATGACGGACGAGCTGCCTGTGTCTATTAGCACTTGTCCAACCTTCAAATTGGCCAACTTTAATATGAACACCACTGGATCATCATAGGGAGTTTTAATTTTGCCTCTTTTTTCCTTACAAATAGTTAACTCTAGGAATGGCTCCACTTTTACACTCTCCGTGTGCATGACCTCTTCGGATTGCCAAATATTCTGCTTGATTCCCTTTATGGTTGGGCCGCTTGCAACAAAGCCACCTGAAATGACGACCACAAACCCTGAGTCCGTGCTATTCCCATCTTCATCATCTTTTTTCTTTTTCTTCTTCTTCTCAGACTTGTTGTCTGTCCGAGAGTAAGTGAACTTCGACTTCAAGACATACGAGTTGAGTATGCCCTTCTCGGCCAGCTTGTCCAATAACCTTTTCATGTTATTGCACTCCTTCGTATGGTTCCCCACATCTTTGTGGTAGTGACATTACTTGTTCTTGTTTCGATACTGGGCCGGCCCCCTTAGAGGCCGAGGCTTCTCAATTCAAACTTATTCTTGATTTCCATCAAAATTGAGTAACAATCTTTGTTGTATTCATACATTAGTTCGTATGTCTTGGCTTTCTTGGACTTGGCCTGTTGGAAATTAGCCACCCAAACTTCTTTTCTTTTGTTATCTCCTTCCTTCGTTTTGACGGACGAGTCTTGCTGAGAAGATGGTTTCTTTTCGGCACACTTGGCCGGCTCTTCTGCTTTTGTAAGCAAACGTAAATTAGCAACCTTAATGTATGACTTGGCCTCCCGCAGAATGCCTGCGTATGTCCAAATCTCTTTCCTAATCAAGTCGAACTTGAAATTATTGTGCCTTAAGCCTCGAAGAAACTCCGAGTAAGCCATCTCATCCGGCATATTCTGAATTTGTGCTTTGTCCATGTTAAACCTTTGAACGTACGAACGCAACCCCTACTTATTCCCTTGGACGATGGTCGCCAAGTTAAGACTAGTCTTTTGAGGTGGTATAATGTAGAAAAAGTTTCCAACGAGCAACAAGTTGAGAGTTGTAAAGCAATTGATGCATCCGGACGGCATAATTTTGAACCAGTCTTGAGCCACACCCTTGAGGGTGGCCGGGAAGCATTTGCAACAAGTGGAATCATTCACACTTTGTAAGTATATCAAATTTCTATACCAGGAAATATGTTCTTCTAGGTTGCCTGTACCATCACAAGCACCCACAAGTACACTCTTCACTTTAGCTAGATAGGAAGAGTTGAGAATTTCTTGAGAAACAAAGGCGGCTTGTCACCAAGAGGCATCAAGCACATTTGTCAATCAATAGGCTGAGGTTATGCGGTCGGTCCGACCAGGTAAGCAGCCTAGTCGTACGACTGGCCATATTGCCCGTACTGCCCGTACATAGGGAGAGTAGGCGGTTGAATTGCGCCTTAGTTATGGGGCATTTGAAACTGAGCTAGTTGAGATAAAGGATCTGGAGTTAGAATGGAAGCAGTGGTCGAGTTGGTATGCTTGGAGAGGGTATGGTTTGACATTTCATCCGACATGGTGGGAGTGGAAGTAGTGTCCGAGTAATAGGACTGTGCCCGCTCCTGCAGCTTGTACCGAAGGTAGTCTCTAGCATCATTGAAGCGATAGGACAGATCGTTTGGCTACCTGAGAGGCCGCTTCACCTGCCTTCCAGCCAACTTCGATTTCTCAAGCAGCCTAAACCAGTTTGTCCAAGGCACCCTAGGGACCTTGGCTGCCTCCTAAATGGAATAACTCCAACGTCTTCAGTATTGGCCGCCTTGGCGTAGGGCTTCCTTTTGGTACCCTCTGCTTCTTTCCTGGGCAGCTGCCTAGAGGAAGAGGGTATCGTGCCCTCAAACTCCATTTGGATCTTGGCCTAAGCAGCTTGCAGGGAGCCGGCCGTCACAGGAGGATCCTCGTCCTCATGGAACGAGGCGGTCAGAGGATCGTTGTTGTTGATAGTAACCTACATAATCTGTACATGTCCATCCTGACCAGGAACATGTGTCTGACCGTCTTTAGCCATCTTAGACGTGTATCCCCACAAAGGGCGCCAAATGTTTCAGGGTATTTGAAATCCCTCGAGATACGGGTCTTGAATATAGCCGGACAGCCGCGACACCTACAAAACATAGAATATTCCATTGGACAGAATATATGCCTCCGACAATCAAGTTAGTGATCGGAAAATGAAAGTATTTTAGAGATAGAAAGTAGAGAGAAGGTTTTTTTTTTTTAAAACCGCGCTAGCATTAGTTAAAGGACAAAGAGTCCATTAGTACATAAGGAGCAACCTCATGGGGACAATGAATTTACCATATTTGTTCGACTCTAAAAGGAACTAGCTTAGCGAGAGAATTAGCAACGCAATTACCATCACATGTTACATGAGACCAAATGACAGAATTAAAATTAGTACACAAGGAGAGGATATTACAGAGTACCGTGCCAATATCAGCAGCAAAAGTAGCTCCCTTCGAGAGACAGTCAATCACCACCTTGCAATCGGACTCAAGGATAATATGCTGGAGGTGGTACTTCTTACCCAGCCGAAGAGCGTGGAAGAGGGCCTTAGCCTCATCAACTTCAAGAGGCCAGAAAGCACGAGTTCTTCTTGTAGCCACAAAGATGATTTTTCCTTTATGATTTCTCACAGCAATGCCGAGTCCCACCAAGCCTTCATCTACGAGAGACGCATCCGCATTGAGCTTCACAACACTGCTCGGAGGAGCAGACCATGGATGAGCAGACCACTCGGTTGACCAGCACAACATCAGGAGTGGCTTTATCTTCGAAGACCTTTGAATTTCTCTCTCCTCATATACACCATGCTAGGAACGTGCCCCTCTTCTTTACCTTTGGATCAAGCGTCTTCCAGCTTACCACTAAGTCGTAGAAGGAATCAAAAGAGCTCTAATTCATCATTTGTTCACATTTGTAGTCAAACCAAAGATCTCTAACTCTTTGGCAGCCCACAATAGCATGTTCCAGAGTTTCCAATCCAACCCCACAACATGGACACACTACATCAATAATCATGTGTCGATGAAGCAACAGACTTCGGGTAGGGAGAGTGCCCGTACATAGCCTCTAGAAAAAGTGTCATACCTTAGGAGAAACATTGGCTTTCCAAATCTCGACCCAAGCCTGGTGAAATATATCAAGATCACAGCCTTTGCCGAGGAGATAAGCAGATTTGACTGTGTAATCCCCACAATTCGAAAAAGCCCAGCAAAGTTCATCATCGCAGCCACGCTCACTGATGGGGAGAGATAGTATACAACGAGTATCCCTCTTAGTGAATACCTCCTCAATGAGATCAACCTTCCATTCCCGTTTCTCTTCATCAATGAGATCTCTCACAAACTTCATCCCCTCCACTTCTTCACTCAAAATAAAGCACCCTACATCATCCGCCACCCATGGGTTAGCTCAAATATTAATCTTACAACCATCACCTACTCTCCACAAGTTTCCCTCCTTAATAAGAGGTTTAGAGGACCTATGCTCCTCGAAGAATAAGATCCACCCACTCCAAGTGACGCATCTAGAAAGTCCCTATTTGGAAAATACTTCGCTTTTAACACACGGCAAAGGAAGGAAGACGGAGCTTACACTAATATCCAAGCTTGTCTCCCAAGGAGAGAATCATTAAAAATCCGAGAGATCTCTAAATCCCATGCCCCCAAGACACTTCAACGTGCACATTGAACCCAATTTTTCTAATGGGTTTTTCTCTTTCCATCTTTCAATCCCCAATAGAATCTTGCCATTTCAGAGTGAACTCTGTGAATAATCGAGCAAGGTAATTTTTATACCCCCATCAAATAGGTAGGGATAGCTTGAATAACCGATTAAAGGAGAGTTTCCTTGCCCGCTATAGAGAGTCATTTTTCCTTCCACCCTTGCAATTTCTTCCAAATTCGATCAATAAGAGCTTCAAAAATGATTTTCTTTGATCTTCCAAGGATGGTCGGAATCCCAAGGTAATTCTCATGTCTTTCAACTTGCCGCATATTATGAATCCCCATAATTTCCTCTCTCTGCTCAACACTAACTCCTTTACTGAAGGACACTTTCGATTTTTCATAGTTAATTTTTTGCTCGGATGCTTTTTCATACTGTATGAGAATATCAACTACCACTAAGCACTCCCGTCGGTTTGCCCTAGTAAAAAGGAGACTATCATCTGCAAAAAGGAGATGAGAAATTTTAGGACCCTGAACCTTACTCTGCAACATACTCGAGAAAACATCAGCCACCGAAATAAATAAGTAAGGGGAGAGTGGGTCACCCTGTCTAATACCCCTAGTAGGGGACACCGTACCACAAATTCCTCCGTTAATCACAAAGGAATAAGAAACCGAAGAAACACACTCAAAAACTATGTTGACCCAACGACCATCAAACCCCACAGTAAGAAGCAGCTTCCGGAGAAAACCCCATTTAACCTGTCGTACGCTTATGTAAATAAATGATATGTGTCATTCCATCCTCCCATCATAAATTATTGGGGTATTTATAAGGGTTGGAATGTGTGCCCTCAAGGGTTGGTGCCCAAAAAAGGAGTGATTTGATTGGCGGCCCAATCAGAGTAGGACACGTGTCCTTTGGGGGCGCCGTCATGATGCCTTCTCTCGGGATTTGGGCCTCCTGATGTGAGGAGTCCTTCTCCCTTTTAGGTGCTCTATTGTTTTTCCACGTGTCATCTTCCTATTAGGACATGTGTAACCATTTTATTAAGCCATGTGTCACTATTATTGGGTTTTGCGGTGTCCGACACCGCGTAGAAACAAAACTCGTAAAAGGATCGCATGAATGATAATTATAGCATAACAACATAGCATGCAATTAGTGAAAGCATAAACACATAAAAGGAAGAGAGAGAAATTAAGGATAAGAGTAGCTCACCGTTGACGCGTGCTTCGCTCGTATCACGAGCTCGAACTTGGAAAACCTCGAGACTCGCAATTGTAAGCCCTCCAACATCTCACACCCTCGTGCCTGAACCGGCCCCTACCCCGTAGCTTAGACGAGTCTAGACTCAATAAAACTAGAGTATTACGATCTTAAAGGCTTTTTCACTTTAGGGAGATACCTTATTGTGTTCAACTCAAGTGAATAATCCCATTACCCAAGGTGGGTATTTATAATGACATGCTCCCTACAATTTCCATCAACTTTCCATGTGGGAGAATTGTTGAAATGAGATAAATGAATGAATTAATTTAATTCTAAATTAAATTAAATGGCACAAGTAATAAGCAAACGACAAGTGGCATTGTAAGGCAGGGGTTAGGTAAGGACCACAACCCCTTCCGTTAGAGATCAAGCAAAATCCAACTCACCTTAGTTAACCAAGAGAAGACTGGTCACATGCTTTAAGCCTTAAGGTCGCCTAGCTGATGGCCTTGCCCTCGGCTGGGCCTGCTAGCATGCCGCAAGCCCACGCAAGTTAACATGCCATTGCTAAGCCTGCTCGTGTGCTTGCGGGCTGGTGCTAGCACTACTAGCATTGGCCTGCTCGTATGCTTGCGGGCTGATGCTAGCGTTGCTAGCTCGCCCAACACAACAATGCTTGGGAGGCCTTGTGTTGCTAGCTAGCTACCTCGGTCAGCGCACATGCGTGGCTGCTGGGCTTCCGGCCAAGGCTAGTTCATGGCTAGCAGACATGCTAGCTAATGTTGCCTAGTCCTCGATTGGCTAGGCCAACTAGAGGCTAGGTCTTTGAGATGACTTGCCATTTGACTTATTTTCTCGTCTCGTCGATTCCTTGAAACAACTCGACGTTCGACGCTCTAAGCTTGGAACCCGACGTCTTAGTTCGTAAAATCTCTATCGACTTATTTAATCCTCCGGATTAATTTGTCGCCTTAGTTCGGTTACACAATTAGGTGTGACCCAAAGGGTTCAGTCAAGAGCAAGCTGCAATATTAATTTTACATTAATATTACTGATCGAAAGTGTCCTCTAGCTAGGTATTTTGATCACTTGACCTCACTGAATAATTAGCTTTCCTAATTAGTTCCGATTCCTCTATCAGAATAATACACTTATTTAAAGGACACCATTCCTTTTAATCTCCCACTTGTCCTTCCGGACAAGTGTGCTTTATATGTATTGCCTTTTTCCTATGTTACTTAATGCTTCTTCATGAACTATAAGGAAAGATTTATCATTATCCTTATTACGGCTAGAAGTGTTCCTCGATTTACAAGTTTGACTGTCAATAAGCAGATGATTTCCAAAATCCATTTTAGCACGACCATGCATTTTCACAGTCTCGCTCTTCAAGAGGCCTTGTAAACAACAAAGACATGTTTCCTATTGTTAATAGGAGGACATTCCCAGTCTTGCATTGTAAAGCTTCCCTTACTAAGAGGCCTTAGCCGCCTGAGTATTGCCTTTATAGTCCCCTTATACGGCAGACGTTTGGCAACATCTAAGCAGACTAGTACTTAAATAAGAGAACTTACAATACTCATGGTCGAGGAAAGAGATACCGATAGACATAATGAGTAATATACTTATGACGATTGTTAAATCTCTTAAAGTATTCTCATAGGTCGATCCGGTATAGTTCCAAAGTAATACCTGTGCAAATGAATTATGACAATCTTGTCCTTGTAGCACAAGAAATGGTGCTATAAATCATACTACACACAAATCTCGCGCGGTCATTAGTTGTCCAACTTTCAAATGACCTCTATTATGGATATTTTCGATGTGACATTCAATGTTCACTTAATAGGTGTTTTTTTATCCAAGACAATGTCTTAATACCCTATTTTGAATATCGTCAAATCGAATGGACTCATTATTTAATTCTAAACCACAATATTAAGTAGTTTGTGAAATTATTAGTAAAAATTTATTCCACTGTGAAACTTTTCAACGTTTCATCTTATGATAAAAGGTTTTTCTCTAAATGTTTTAAGAGTAATTCTCTTTACAAAACATTTATAGAAATCACACCCATATATAATATGCTTGATTTCTTTTATGCAATTGTGAATGTTGTGGTTCACTTATTACATAGGTTTAGTTATCATTACTTTGCAAATCTTAGCATCGTTATTGTCGAACACTTTCATAATAAGATGATAATATTTGAATGTGTTATGGATTACATGTGATCTAGGATTTATTGCATAAGTGATGGCTCCCACTCATTTTCATGATTTAAGACCTTCAACTTGACAACCTATAATCATCAAAGTTCAACAACAAACTATCCATTGAACAACATCCCTTTTATTGCCTTTAAGGCAACAATGTTCTCAACCTATATTTCAGTAGATTCCCTAATGATGCTTTGCTTGGATTTTACTCCAACCAGCTCACAATGATTTGGGATACCCTAATCATTTGTGACTATGGAAATTTTCCTTAAATTTCCGCACAATATATATGGACATAAGTCCATGATTCCATTCTCAAGCCATGACGCATCTAAGCTCGTGCTTATAAATGGCTTCCTCATTAAGGATATAATCCTTGTTAAGGCTGTTCTTGCTACATCAATACTCAAATTATATTTTTTTTCCATGTATCAAGAACTCATCCTCATACTTAACCAAGTACTTTGGATGTTCTTGATCATAATCTAACGATCCATTGCTTAGATTCAAGTCGATTAGTATTTTATACTTGTCATGTTCTAAGCATGCAGGTCATGTGACAATTCCATATCGTAGCACACATGACGGATTCAATTGCAGAAATATTCCCAATTTCATCCTATTCATGTGACTTTTAGCTCATCTAGTTCCAC